GAGGGGACACATTAGCATACTCTTGTAGATGACCAGTGTCCCCTGACCCAAAGGTCCCACAACCTTTCCTAAAACAGCACTAGAAAGTTCTGTTTAACTCACATGTGTATCCCAGGGCAACGAGGAAACTGCTTATCATGGTATGTGGGATAGTAATGAAATAAAACTGTCTTGATTTTCACAACTTATCATGAAGTTCACTTTGTTAATCTAAAAGTTAAGAATTCAACTGGGTAACACTGTAGCTACCGCAGGACCCAAACTAGACGCTTGTGTGACGTTGCCACCTGCTGGGAAAGTGGTGTAACCTATTTCCTCTGCGCAAGGTGTAGAAGACTTCGGCAGCAAAAAAAATTTGGTTGACTAATTGATCACCACAGATTTTTAAAAATACATATTTTTATCTGCTGTCTGGAAGCCACTAAGATAATTTATCACCGAATTTAATTTCTAAATATAATAATTAATATTTCTGAAGTATTTGTTTATTTGATTGTATCCGTCCTGAATGTTTCATTCAGGACAAAATGTTCAATCAGACAGCGAGATTTTAAGTAAGAAAAAAATAAATGGCCTTTTATAGGGGAGTTTTAAAAATTTGTTTCTGAAAATAAACTTTCTGTTTGTAAGATGAAAATAAAAAAACCCGAGTCTCAAATAAGATTTTGAATTTTAATTAGGTATTTTCTCTCCTACCTTATTTGGTCTGTGTTTGACTTATTTTATAAGTCAAGTAACTTTTTAGTACCTCAGTTTATTCATTTGCAAGCTGAAATTGTGTTCATGTGAAAAAAAAAAAAATTAAGGCTTACCGGATGGTCCTAGGCCTCGATCCTTTGTAGATACTGAAAACACCATGACCTGCACACCAGCTCCTGATGCCAGCCTTCAGAGGAAACACAAGAGCGCTCTGTAATAAGGGACAGTCATGTGGCGCAGGGAGCACACCCGAGTGGGAGGTGGTCCTGCCCAGCCGCTCAGCCTCAGAGGCCGGCTTCAGCCACAGCCTCCAGGGAAGGCTCCAGAACACCGAGAGGCAGGAAGGTGGCTGAGAAAGTGCTGCCTGCCAGGACCAGCCACATGGATACGAAAATAATGACTGGGCATTAGACAAAAGCAGGATTCTTACACGTTCTGTGGGGCAGGACCACAAAGAACTCCAGTGTGGCAGTGTGGCAGTGTGGCAGAAGGGAGAGAGCGCGAGCAATGTCCTAGAGGCTCGGTCCCAGACTGTGGGGCAAACACAGATGGTTAAAGCTGGCCACTTCATGTGCTTTCCAGCCAGTGTGTGTTGCTTAGGTTTAAAGTCAGCCTGCAGGAGGAGCCCTCTGCGAGTTCTAGGTGAAGGGTGATGTACTCCTTCCTCTTCCTTGTGTTTCTCGCTTACCTGATTGCTCTGCTGGAGTCCTGAGCACAGTATTAATCAGGAGGGATGATAGTGAACACTCTTGTCCTGCTCCTGACAGGCAGCAGTTTCAGTTTTTTTTCCATTTGGTATGATGTAGGCAGCAGGTTTATCTTAAGTGACTTTTATCAGTTTGAGAGAAGGTCCTTCTACACCTCTTTCCATTGACCTCTTCAGCAGAGCACAATATTATTTTATTTACCAAATAAACTATGAAGATGGCCATATGGACTTATTAAATATGAGGTCTGTGACGCTGTTGATGCTGCTGAGTTGCCTAACCCAGAGGCATTGTGAACACAGTGTCGAAACCTGTTGTTATGCTAGCTGCACTGTATTAATCAGCACTGCCCGTTTCTGTTTTTCTGTTTTGGCAGGGCTAGGAACTGCACTCAAGGCCTTGGGCATGCTTGGCAAGTTTTCTAGCAATGAGCTTTTCCAGCCTTTGTTTTTGTTTTGAGATGAGGGTCTTGTGTAGCCCATGCTGGACTCAGAATCAAGATCCTCCTGCCTCAGCCTCCAGAACAACCAAAACAACAGGCCTATACCACCGCACTCAGCTAACACCGGCCTTTTAAAGTTTCCTTTTTGAGTTGTTGGTAGCTTTGTTCAGTGGCTTATCACGAAAATGAGGTCTTCTGCTAACACAAAATTGTTACTTTTTTATGTATTTAGTGCAGGGTCTACAGGGTCTTACTACACAGGTTGGATTCATAGTGATTCTCCTGTTTTCAGCCTCCTAAGCACTGGGACTATAGGTGTGTGCCCCCACGCCCAGTCTCTATTGCTGTCCCAGCTTGCTGTGGGGGCGGGGCAGGCACTGCATACTGGATGGAACCCCAGCCGCTGCACTCCACCTGAGCAGGCACTTTAGTTTGCTAAGCTATCTGGCTGGCCCTAAATTGTTGCACTTTTAAACTAAGGAAATTTTCAAAATTTATTTTTATATTTTATATTTGTATTTAATTTCATATCCCTAGCTTCAAGGAAATTAGTCTTTCTTTTAAACTTCACATAGCTTACGGAAATTTGGTGATGTCCTTCAATGAATACCATTTTTATCTTCACAGATATAGGCTGGTCCCACGGGTTTATTTTCCTGAGCAAATTCACGATGTGGTTCGTGCCACAAAGTACTTCCTGCAGCCAGAGGTCTTGGAGAAGTATAAGGTTGACCCCGGCAGAGTCGGAGTTTCTGGTGACAGCGCTGGCGGGAACTTGGCCGCTGCCCTTGGACAGCAGGTAACACGTTGCCCTGTTGCACTGGTGTAGAGTGCGGTTCCAGCCAGCGGGTTAAGTCCTGCTGCCTCAGTGGTGGCCGACACACTGTGCCGGCTGCTGGCTACCCAGCAGCTTATTTCATTTTGAGGCAGGGTCTCACTAACGTGACCAGGCTGGCTTCCAGCCTGAGATCCTGCCCCTGCCTCCTGAGTAGCTGGGGTTCCACGCATGGACCTCCCTGCCCAGCAGCAAGACGGAAGGAGGGAGCTTCCAGCATGCTGCGGCCCTGCTTATAGCCCTCGTTAGCAAGGACTGAGAGCGCGAGGGCTCCTCTGCTCCTGAGGGACAGCGTGAGTGTCAGCACCGCCCCCGCCTCCAGATTTGCTTTGCAAAACGTGCTGGTTTTGCCTGTATTCCGTTTTCTGTGATTGTCTTCTCAGAACCTCAAAACATTGTTTCCCAAAAGTTTTTTTTTAATGCAAAAAGGAAAAAAATACCTTTTTTCAGTTGTTTTAGATGTCATATTACACATGTTGATCTGAGTTTTACCTGGCTAAATTCAATGAAAGCCACCTCTAGCTCTGATAGCACTTAATGTTTGGCAGCTGTACAAACTGAAAAATAAGCACATTTTCACCTTATAGATTAACCAACTTAAGAGAGCATTTCTGCTTTTTCACTTCCACATTCTTTTTGGTATGTTTAAGTAGCATCTTCCGTTTTATTTGTGATACACTTTGGTTATTTTTTTCTCCTTTGCTTGATTAATTATGAGCCATTGTAATAATTATTAGCTAATAATAAAGTACTTGATTTTGTGTGACATGATCACATTTGCTACTCTTGTGTCCAAATATAGGTGTTAAAGTCAGGCAGACTTGGGGTCTAGTCCAGACCCCAGCTCAGAGAGAAACAGCATAGGGATAATGCCCACAACCCTTTGTGAGCCACAGGAAAATGCATGCAGCGTGTCTGGCTGCAGTGTTGTTAAAGGGACTCACTGCGGTCATACTCCCAAGTGATTCCTTTTGCTTTTATAGAGCAGTTGCGTCTTACCTGAGGACAGAGTTTTTAAAGTCCCAGAACAAAGCAAACCACACCGTTGAGGTTAGCATAAAGATCGATTAGCTACTTATGAAGCACAGTGACCTAGCTAGTTTCCTTTAGGATCTTATATGACAAGTGTATAATATGAGATGATAGAATTACGGACGTACCATGTATCTCAGTTACTCTTCTCTCATTGCTGGGACAAATACCCAACATTCAAAATTAGGCAAGGAAAGGTTTATTTAGCTCACAGTTGGTGGAGGCCTCAGTCAATACTCGGCTGGCTCCAAGGCAGAGTAGCACACAGCAAAGAGTGACAGTTTATGAAGGTGGCAAAGAGCAGAGCACAAAGGGAGTGGCAGCAGCTCAGGCAGCTGGCCAGCCTCACTCCCCTCCTTGTGTTGTAATGCAGAGTATCCACCCCAGGGCACTCATACCCGTAATCCCAGCACTGGCTCAAGCATCAGTCACAACCTCCTGAAGGGGCCCCATGACTGCATGAGGCTTTGGGGGGACAGCTAGACACAAAGCATAACACCGTGACGTAATCACACTGACCCGAGCCACAGGTGAGCTGATAGCTGCAGAGCTGGGAGGTTCACTTCTTTTTCCATTTCGGCTTCATTCTGCGGCTTGTGCTCATTCAGTAGAATGGATGCGCATTGCCAGCATTATTTAAACTCTCCCTCTCACCGAGTGTGAAGAGTAAGTGCTCATCAGAGGGTTTCCACTAAAACCCTTTGGAGTCTTGCTGTCTGTTCATTCAGCTTTACTATCTCTCTCCTCTGGATGAGCAAGCCTCGTTTTCATCTCCCTAGGATGTTGTTGCCTTCTGGGGCTTTGTGCAGAATCAAATTAAATGAGATGCCTAGATTATCCACCCATAATATCTACCAAGGTGTGTGCTAAGTGCCAAAGGATAGATATAATGAGAGTGAAGACCTCAGAGGTCACATATCCTGGGTTCATTCAAAGCTATGAATTACAAACAGCGTGGTTTCCTAATAAATCCCAGCAGCTTGATAGGGTAGTGGTGGAGAAGTGTTTAATTTTAAACTATATTACATGATACCATGCCTGGTAGAAATGTAAAATGGATTCCTTTGACTGACTCAAAGCAATACCCAAAGCTACCTTGAGGGTGTCCTTCCCATAAAAGGAATCACGCAAAATGAAATGACGTGTTTCTTTTTCAGTTCAGTCAAGATCCCAGCCTAAGGAATAAGCTCAAACTGCAAGCATTAATCTATCCAGTCCTCCAAGCATTAGATTTTAATACACCCTCTTACCAGCAGAATGTGAACACTCCCATCCTACCCCGCTACGTCATGGTGAAGTACTGGGTGGACTACTTCAAAGGCAGCTATGACTTTGTGCAGGCGATGATCATGAACAATCACACATCCCTGGAGGTAGAAGAGGCTGCTGCCCTCAGGGCTCGTCTAAACTGGACCTCCCTGTTGCCTGCGTCCATCACAAAGAACTACAAGCCTGTTGTGCAGACCACGGGCAATGCCAGGATTGTGCAGGAGATCCCTCAGCTGCTGGACGCCCGCTCCTCCCCACTCATTGCAGACCAGGATGAGCTCCAGCACCTCCCAAAGACCTACATTCTGACGTGTGAGCACGACGTCCTGAGAGACGACGGGATCATGTATGCCAAGCGCCTGGAGAGTGCAGGGGTGGAGGTGACCCTCGATCACTTTGAGGATGGCTTCCACGGGTGCATGATTTTCACGAGCTGGCCTACCAACTTCTCTGTGGGCATGCGGACTAGGAATAGTTACATCAAGTGGCTGGATCAAAACCTGTGAAGGAGTAAAACCTCCCAAAGGCCCAAGCTCCTCTTGACCTCCTGCATCTGCTTTGCAAAGACATGGAATTTTTAGTTGCTTAATCCCTGCCCCCCTTGATACCTGTGGGTCTTGGATTCTCTATTCTCTGCAGACTTTATGATAATCTAATTTTAAAAAATGAATTTGAGCAAGGGCAAAAGTATCTGAATTTGGTTTCCAAAGTGGGCCATGCTCTGTGTTCTTTGTCGTAGCCAACTACCACTGAGATCCACAGCTTCAAGATGCAGCAGCAGGGCTGGAGAGAGCCTCAGGCCCTGCCTCCCGGAGGCGGTGGTCTTTTCAAAAGAGAAGCTAGCAGGTGTGGATGACAGAATGGCCTTAGATGAGTTCCAGAAACAGGAGCTCTCCAACTTGCTAGAGCTGACATTGGGCTCAGAGCAGTGATAAACGTGTGCACTTTTAGCTCCATGCCGGGGACCAAGTGCCCATGCTTCTCTGTAGAAGGTTTTGTTTCCTATGGGAATTTCAGCAGTGGCTGGAAAGCATGACGGGCTCCCGAAGGATTTCCTTTCCCTTGAGTGTTAACTTTATGAGATAGCTATCTTTATGACCAGTTCCATTTAAATGATACTTGAAAGTTATTTTCTACTACTATATTAGGAAATAGGAGGCTGCATGCACTGGATATATGTACATTATTAAACTTTTGTTATTGTTTAGTTACATTGTCTCCATGGGGAAATCTTTTGGGAACAAACTTATTTAGATTTAGAATAAATTTTCCTCTGTAAAATAAGTAAAAACAGACAAAGGAAACAACCTATTGTTTCATAAAAATGCTCTGGCACAAATTACCAAGAGCAGTGTGCATATATTTGATATAGTCAGGAAATAAAGTACATTTACTATTAATTTAAAATACTTTTCCCTAATGAAAAAATACCTTTAAAAGGTCTAATCTATTCTTAAAAACTCAACTTTTTCACTTATATGGCTTTAAAATGTAACTATTTTGGTAAAATATAATGTATTGTTTATTTTTTTAAGTTATTTAATGTTACTATATATAGCTAGACTTAGGATTTTCCTGAAAAAAAAAAATCTGTAATAAGTATTAAAAGCAATGGTATTTTTAAAACTACCTGCAAATTATATGCACATGTAATTTTATGGAAAGAGATAAAATAGAAATTAATAGTACTATATAATGGGAAAATATTTTGATATTTATATTCATATACAAGATAAAATAATTAGAAACTCTGCACCTAATAAGAATATCTAAGTTTGTGCTGATTGAGCATCCCTCATCCAAAATCTGACACTTCAAGTGCTCACATGATGTCCCAAGTAGAAAATTATACACACGAAGATTTTTTTCAATACATTTGAAATATACTGAAGAGCTACAGTCTGGCTCGTGATTGAACCCAGGGCCTCATCTCATGGGTGGGGAGGCAGGTGCTCTACCACCTAGCTACATCCCCTGCCTTTTATTTTCAGGCAGATTCTCATTCAATTGCATAGACTGGCCTTGAACTCTCTACGATCCTGCCTCAGCCTCGTAAATAGCTGGAATTACAGGTATGAGTGACCATGTTCTACTCATACCATAAAAATGGGTTTCATGCTCAAAATTACTAAAAACATTGTCAGCCTTTCATGCCGGCCCCGCCACTGGAGCACACTGAGACAGCAATTGAGACTGGGCATGGTGTCACTTGCCTGTAATCTCAGCACTTGGGAGGCTGTAAACAGAAGAATCATTATGAGTCCAATCTGTGCTGTACACCCTGTTCACCCTGTACACCCTGTCCTAAATATATATATATATATATATATATATATATACTGTTGAAACTTATTTTCAGCCCATAAGTGTATATAACCTTAACATATGAGTATATGTAAAATGTATATTAATTAGATTTGGGTCTTATCACTAAGTTATTTCAGTATCCGTGCATAGATATTCCAAATTCCAAAAGAACCCCAAAGTGCTTCTGGTCCCAGGCATTTCAAAGAAGAGATACTCAACCCGTATTTTAGAACATTAGTCAAGATACACTGCTCCGCTCTGTTCTTTGTGGTCAGAGGAGCCCTTACTCACATCTTCTGGGTGGGGGCAGGCAAACGTTGCCGACCACTGTCTGCAGGCCTCATCGTATCCTCCCAGCCAAGTCTAGAAGTCCCAGCAGCCGAAGCTCACCCTCGCGTAAAGTCTGCACTGCCAGCAGGAAACTGCACTTCTGCCTTGGGTGGAGCTCGCTGCACTCCTTCCTGCCCCTCCCACTTCACGTCTATTCACACTACTTTTAGGGCATGCAGGGAGCGGTGGTGCAGCTGCACGTGGAAGGAAAGGAGGCCCTTCCACCTCTCTAGCCGTGAGGTAACAGATAAAAAGCTGCGTACTTACTTTTCTTATACTGTAAGAGATAGTGGTATTTTGTGTGCGTAACACAGGACAGTGCCACCACGTGTGTGCAGCTGTGTGTGTAACAGGTGGGGGAGATAGCTCAGTGGTGTCAGCACCTGCCCTGCAAAAGCAAGGTGCTGAGTTCACTCCCCAGTACCAAAACAAAAAAAGAATAATCATGCAAGCTGCCTTGCTGGCGAACTTAGCTTGGACTTAGGTGACTCATCTGTCATCTCTGGATCTCTTCTCTCTTTCCTCTAAAATCAGAGAGCTGAGTTACCTAATCTTTGAGTTCTCTTCTACCCAGAAATCCCAACCATTTTCTCAGACTGAACAAATTGTATTGGTAATTTTTGGGGGGGCGGGGGGGGGTAAGTTGTAATTTCATATACATAAACAAATGCATCAGTGAAGATTTATTTTCCCAAGAAACCAAAATTTTAGTTCTCATTCTATGATAGTGACCTTCCTTGTAGGATATGTTTTTTAGGGGTGTTGCTGGGGACAGAGCCCAGGGCCTCAGCAAACTCAGCAAGCACGCTACCACTAAACTACACCAACATCCCATTACTAGTCTTGTGACACCATTGAAAGAATCTTAATTCAAATTTTTCTACTTCTAAGAAAGAGGATATATAACACAAAAGTTCCTTTATTTATCTTATTTTTTAAATTTTATTATTTTTGAGACGGAGTTTAGGCTGACCTCAAACTCAGCTTTGTAGCTCAGGATGGCCTTGAACTCAGCAGTCCTCCTGCCTCAGCCTCCGGAGTGCTGGGATTACAAGTGTGTGCCACCATGCCTGGACTTAAGAGTTCCTTTAAAAATCACATTTTTCCTAGAATTATAGCCAAATTCTGTAGTGGTTAAAGACAACAAATGCTTTCAGATTTCGGAAGAGCTCTCAAATGAAAAGGGAGTGAAAAAGGGTCAGCCTCTGTTTCTGGTGAACTACTTGAGTTCAGTGTTCTTTCCACTTTTATTCCTGTGACAGTGTTTGTGCTCTGTAGTTCTTTTCTAGTGTATAAGTTTGTTTTGTTTTTCTATTTTATGATGAAGTTGATAATCTTTTTATAATGTTGTCTGTGAAACAGGAACATTAACATATGAAGAAAAAACCTGAAGTGCTGTAAAATAATAGTGAAGTATAAATTAATCTTAATGTTTTGTCATTAACCTGTGAAGAATTTAAGATTATTGTATAACTATCTTGGTGGATATAATGTTTTATGCATGACCTTTTAACCTTTGACTTTTTGCCTGTTTCCCACAGCAGAGGGAAGGCAGATTTTATGAAGGATTTTAGGAGCAAATATGTTTTGTAAAATGAAAATCCAGTGGGAGGTGGGAAGGCTTTCCCTTGCCTGGAATCTTGTTGGGAAATAAAGTGGCTCCACCTGGGACTGTGCCTCTTTCATTTGCCCTCCTTGCATTTCCGCAGTTCCTATTTGAGATGCTGCCTTCTTTCTTTTTCTCTCTGTCCTCCACACCCCTGCCCAAATCTTTGCACACAGTATTCTCCACCCGTCTTTTCCTCACCAAGAAGTGGTTCACTGCTGTAGTGGTTTGAGGTTTTTTAAGGAAGAATGCAATACAGGACACCATTTATAAGGTTATTTTATAATGAATCACTCAAAGAATCATATACAAAGAGTGCAGGAAATCTATCCACACACTAAAGCCCAAAGAACTCAGCTGTGGGCCTGGAGCCTGTCATACTGTCCTGCATGAGTCCAGCTGAAGACCCAGAGCCCTTAACAGTGCCTCCCACAAGTCCAATTGGAGGTCTGGAGCCCACAACAATGTCTCATGTGGGTCTGCTTCATGAATCCACTCCAGAAAGGCCCAAAGCTCTGTGGTGAAAGCTAGACGTCTATGTCATAGGGATGGAGGGTCTGTGGTAGCAGGTTGAGGGATCTGCATTGGAGTCAGAAAACAATGCTCAAAATGCAGAGTTCCCCTAAACTACCACAGCCATCATCAGCAACAATGAGGTCCTGAGCTCCTTTGACAATGAGAGGAGCCAAATCCATCAGGAAAGCCAGTATGATAAGGTCCCCCAGCAGAATAGCCCAAGAGAACCAGCAGCTCCCTAACACCTTCCCTATGAGCCTCTCATCAGCTTCACCAGTTCTGCCTCTTATGCTGCCAGTAACAACCCTCAGGTGGGCATCCGACGCCCAGCACCACGCTGGTTCAGTTCAGCTGGGTGTAATGATCCGGCCACTCACCGTCAGTTGACCTCCCCCACTATCACAGACAGCAGACAGCAGTTTCAGTGCCAGCTTACCCAAACCCAAAGCCCAGGGAGGTCCCTGGGATTTTCACTGAGGCTCATGTGGGTCTCAGTTCCACCACCCCATGCGTTCTCCTGCATCGCTAGAGCATGAGGGGTGACCTCGTTTGCACAGGGTTTCTATGTGGAAGGTGCATCCCCAACTCTCAGGCCCCTCACTGTACATGTTGCAGATTCAGTGCTCCTCAGAGAAGGGCGCCTGCTAGGCCAGACGCCGGCCCACTGAACCCACCGCTTCCATGCCCCACCGCCTCCCTGCAGCCCTGGCCTCTCCAGCCTTCACTTGCTCCTGCTGTTTGCCCTCTTGCTTCTCTCTAAAATCTTTTTTTTTTTTTTTTTTTGGCTGGCTCAGGCTGCCTTCAGGGCAGGTCTGGTAAGGCTTGTGGAGTTAGGGATCAAACCTTGGTCCCCTGCACCTGACTGGGTCTCTCTAAAATTTTACTCATTTAATGATGCTTGATTTTGTTTTCTGTATATACCTAAGTGCAAACTCCAGGCAACAGAGACATGCCTGTCTTGTCATTTCTACTTTCTCAGCATTTAGAGTAAACACTTGATAGACTTGGGAAAAGATGCTTTGGAATAATTGATACCACCAAAAAAAATTCAACTTCTAAAAATCATGCTGTGATTTTTCTTGTGTCTTCAAGAAGTAATTTAAGTTCACATCAAATATAGTGACTTGAAAGTACTAAGTATTTCCAGGTAAAATTAAGTACTGCTTTTAACTGCCAAATTTTAAAGCCCAAAATAGTTTCTGAATGAAGATTATTTTTTCTCCAAAAACTTATCTGTTCTTCATTTTTCTTAATAGATACTGACATTTTTTTGCTGAGAATTAACTTACAAACTGCCCAAAAAGAAATGATCCATGTAACACTTCTACAAGTATTCCACAAAACTCCACTGTAAACATTTGAGAACTTTTTTCTGGGTTTTTTTGTTTGTTTGTTTGTTTGTTTGTTTTTGTTTTTGTTTTTTTTTTTTTTGTGGAACCAGGGATTGA